AATATAACATTATTATAATGTGATTTCGTTACTGTACTTTTGATTATAGATTATATAGGAAGAAATAATTTTTTTTTATTTTTAAATCTCTTTTTATATGATTTAAGGTTTGAACTTGAAATTTTTAAATTAAAATTTTAAATTTTTAACTGTTGAATTATCCGTTGAAATTTTCAATACCGCACATTTATAACAATGGATAGAGTGGGGTTTACAAAAATATTAGAGCATCTCAATTAATAATTATTATACTTCATTAATAATTATAATATTATTAATAATTATAATATATGTGTCATTTGCACAGAAAAAACTATATATTATTTTTTTATTAAAAAAATTTGGAGCATAGGTGGTTACATTCTTCAATTTTTTATATTTTATAATTTCTTTTTTATTTTTCAAATAATATATCTTAACAGTGGAAATTTAAAAAAAAAAAAAAAAGAATAATACCGTTATATCCATTTTGAAGCTTGGAAGATAATTTTTGTTGGAAGGAAACAAATTTTCTTTTTCTCAAGTGCCTTCACATTCATCTTTACTTTTCAAGTTAAGTTGAGATATTGGAATAATGAATAAGGTAGAGGGAGTTAGGGAGTTAGTGACTACGGTAGTTTGGCCCTGAAATTGTTTTAGATTCAGTTCAAGTTTTGACTAATTGAATTGGGGTTCAATCAACTTTCAAGTCGAACTCAAATTTAGATAGGTTTTACTTAGAAGCTACAAGCAAGCTACTAGCAGTCACAGTGAAATGCAAGCTACATGCTGCAAAAGTCTAATTTACTCTAATATATACAATGAATTTTAGTATGATTTGTTTATACTAGTACATTATTCATTCATGGTATGTTATTCATTGCTGCCACAAAGTTTGATGAACGAAATAGCTCAACCAATGAAGTGCATATGGTGATTTTAATGACCATACGCCATACCAATAAAACCTCATAATCATGCCCCGTTTATGGACCCTTGTTATAAGTTTCATGGGAACTATTCTTCGCCAGCATTTAACTTCTTTAACGCATTTGACTAAGATTATAAAAGGTTTGTTCCATTAAAGAGAAAAAATATATATAACAAATCATTTGGTCAACTACTGTTGTGATTTAATGATTATAACTTCTTTGAAAAATATAGTGACATTTATAAATCTAAAATTTAAATCTTGACAATCTTATTTTTCATTCCTCAATTATATTAGTTTAATAAAAGTAAAACAAAACATCTCGTCACTTTACTAAATAAGGTTTACACTTAGGTGCGGTGCTCGAGTTTGAACCCCATCTCACCATTTGTATGTAGTTTGTAATGCCAAATGCCATGCCACAATTACACTTTGGTTCACCCTTAATTTGTAGTTTGCAAAACACATGGGCATTGGGACTCCCACAGCTTTGTTAACGGACATTTCTTCACTTTAGGGGGCTCAAATTGAAATATGCCTTGCAAAAAGCTGTTCCACTACCAAACATTTCTCAATCTGAATAAAGCATGTTCATAATGACTCACTGGTATCCATGACCCACAGTACTTTGAAAATGGAGGAAAAAAAAAAAGACCATGTACCAAATTCCAATGTTCTATTTCAAAACATAGATTTCTTATGCACAGTTGGTGAAAATACTCAAATACTGTACTAAGAAAATGAGTTGTCCATTTAGGCTCACAAAGAGACCAGAAAGAGTAACGTTATAAACCAAGTCAAGATAGCCATAAAAACACAAACCAAAAAAAAAAAAAACAAAAGGCCATGATAAACATTCCACTATATATACATATCATCATCATCGCCACCACCACCACCACCATTACAGACGACTGCCCATCATATAATTGTTCAATTTAAAGCCACCTAATATAATTTGTAAATGGTATGTGATAAGTTCATTATTATAAAATTATATATGTGAATTTTAATACAAAACTTATATTCAACTTAAAATCAATTGATAAGAAGCGAAATAACTTTTCTTACGTTTAAACTTTATATTTAAACGTGAAATTTTTATTGCTTAACACACCCCTCACATGGTCTCTTTACATACAGACGAATATAAATACATCGGGTTATATCATGTTGCTTAATAATTAACTTTGCCTTCATAACATTCACAAACTCCTCTAAGCTTATCCCCCCGTTTCCGTTCATATCAACCAACCTGATCATCTCATCCACTTCGTCATCAGTGAGCTTCTCCCCAAGGTTTGTCATGACCTGCCGAAGCTCGGTAGCTGAGATGAAACCATCCTCGTACTTGTCGAAAACTCGGACTGCCTCCTTCAGCTCCTCCTCTGTATCCTTCATTTTCGTAACTATTACTAGGTTGAAAAACCGGTGGAAGTTGATGGTGCCATTGCCATTAGCATCCGCTTCATTGATCATGTCCTGCAGCTCTGCCACTGTAGGGTTCTGTCCTAGTGACCGCGTTACCGTTCCAAGCACATTAGTGGTAATGCAACCTGCAAAATCAAATCATTAGAACAAACACTAAATCTTTTCCAAGATGTAATTAAACAAGGAAAATTATTAAAACACCCTCTAGATAAGCACATCTACGTCTAATTAGTTCAATAATTAAAATCTAATATAAATACAACTAATTTAATTGATTTTTTCATGTTGTACATATAACTTCTTCGAGTTTTTTTTTTTGCCTTTAATTCTAGCTTGGAAAATAATAATTTTTTTGTTAAGAGTGTTGAACGATATATTTTTAAACATTATCAAAGTCAAAAAACCTTAAAACAAACGGAAAATTATTATAGATTGATGAATGGAAAGGAGAAATTGGGAGAGGATCAAACGGTCGCCATCCTTGTCGAACAAGCTGAAGGCCTCTTTGATCTCACTGATCTCTTCGTTGGTCAACAAATTTGCCATGGCCTTGTTTTCAGCTTCAGAAATGGCTCCTTTTCTCTGAAAATTAAGCCCCGCGATACAAATTCTAATTATGAGAAAACTGTTATAAAATATGCAACAATTAAGTAAAAAACCAAGAATAAAAACATAGGGCACCTCCTTCGTCTAGAATGATTTCTTTATTTTAATTTTCCTTTTAATAAGCAATAATTAAGTGAAACTAAAATAATTAAAGGTTGGATTCATTGGTAAGTAAATGTTAAATATAAAATTTAAATATTAAAACCATCAACTACAAAAATTATTTTCTTGGTGCTTAATGTGGGAGTGCCCCTTAAGATCACCTAAGATCGAGAAGAAACTAGTTTCGAGGTATACCTTAAGATTGCCTAAGGGCAAGAGAGGATAAGTTTTGAGGAATACCAAAGTTAACTCAGAAATGTCATGGGCACCTCCCTTCTTGCCTCGAATGATTTCTTTATTTTATTTTACCTTTTATATTATCTTGATATTGGTGGCAAAAACCTACTTTTAACCATTTACATTACTAGATTTGTAGATTTTATCCACTTATCTTATATTATGACACTTTTAACTCTTCACATATTATAATTGAAGAAAATAGCTTTCATTTTATAATATTTTGTTAGTTTTGTTAATTGATTGTTAATTTTATTAGCTGAAAATGAACTTTTGTCAGCTAACAGTTAACTTTTGTCAGCTAACAGTTAACTAACAGTCAACTAATAAAATTAACAGTCAACTAACATAATAATTCTGTGTATTGACTATTAACTCTATTAGCTGAAAGTAGGTTTTTACCAGTTAACAGTTAACTAATAGAATTAATAATTAACTAACAAAACTAACAAAATGTTATAAGTAAAGGTTATTTCCTTTAATTCTAATAGGTGAAGGGTTAAAAATGTAATAGTATAAAGTGATGGATTAAAACTTACAAATCTAAGAAAGTAAAGGGCTAAAAATAAGCTTTTACCAATATTGATAGGTTTGTCCGTTTTGTATTGTAAGTTTTGGGACTAATAAAATGTATATATTAATAAACTTAACCGATTAATTAATAAAAAGATTAAAAAAATATGTGGTTTATAGTTTAGGAACAAAAATTTTTTTTTTAATTTAAAAACTAAAGATATTTAAAATTAAAAGTTTAAAAATTAAAATTGATATTTAACCTTTCATCTAATCCCATGCAACTTTGCAAATCATAATGCAGTACTAAAATGAAATTTTGACATGGCAATTTACTTTAAACTCTTTTTAAATGTTAATTTGTTTCAACTGAAAAAAACTAGATACAATTTGCACCTTTGGCTTTTTATATTTTCTTTTTATTTTTTAATAAATATATGGTTATTGTGGAAATAAAAAAACAAAATTTCTTTTTCTTACGTGCCTCTTCATTCATCCTTACTTTTGGCTTCAAAATTCTTTAGACTCAATTCAAGTTTGACTATTGAATTGGAGTTTAATTAACTTTCCAAGTCGAACTGAAATTTAGATAAGTTTTGGGTAAAAGCTACTAGCAGTCAAAGAAAAAAGCAAGCTACTTTGGTGCAAAAGTCAAATTTACTCTTAAAATATACTGCCATGAATTCTAGTTCTAGTATGATTTGTTTACAAGTACACTCCTATCATTCATAATGGTACGTAATTCAAAGCTGCCACAAAGTTTGATAAACGAAAATGGCTGAACCAATGAAATGCAAATGGTGATTTTGATGACCACACGCCATACCAATAAAATCTCATCATCATGCCACGTTTATGGAGCCTGGTTACAAGTTTTATGGGAACTATTCGTCAGCATTTAACATCTTTAATGCATTTGACTAAGATTATGAAAAGTTCTAAATTGAATTCCCAAATTTTCAAACAAGGAAGAATGAAGCTAGTTGGCGTCCCCTGCCCATCATCATGTGAGCAGACAAAAA